CACACACACACATGCGCACACACACACACATACACACACAAATTCTCATGCCGTTCCTCATGCTTGCGCATGATGTGCCTTGTTTTGGAGACAGATGTTGCGGCGTGGTTCATCAACAAGCGCAAGGTGTACCCTGTCAAGCCTGACCTTGACGACTCCAAGCTCCCGCCAATCGACATCCCCATCGTACGTGCCCAACGCGGTGCCACGAAGCAGGGTGAAGAGTGTCTGAATGTGTGTGTGTGTGTGCGTGTGTGTGTGCGTGTGTATGTGTGTTTGAGTTGGCAGCAGTTGCTGTGAGTCTCAACTGCACCCACTTGTGAATCCTCACACGCACACACACACACACACACTCACACACACATAACACACATAACACACAAACACACAGAATGCGCCAGATCATGCAGACTGGCGGGACGCAGGTGAACGCCCTCATCCAGGCGAGCGCAAGGCAAGGAGCTCTGGCAAGATGCCCGAGGCCACGGGCCAAGGCGACGCGCCAACCGACAAGAGCATCAAGCGCCTGGCACAGGAGGCAGGCCTGGACACCAAGAAGAAGAAGCTGCTTGTGTTTGACGACGTCGCCCTGACAAACGAGGATGGCGACGTGTGTGTGTATGTGTGTGTGTGTGCTACACGTACATCCTTAAGCTGCTGCTCTTCCCACTGCAACAGCTGTTCCTTTCTCTTCTGTTGGTGCTTTGACCTGTCTTTCGTGTTCCGTTCACGTTGCGTGCGTTGGCTCAGTTCTTTTGGCTCACACCATCGAACACATTCAACACAGCCACTCATCCATCCAACAACACTTTCCTCTCAACACAAACCACGAATATACATCGCACATCCATTTCAGCACCAGTCTTCCCAGGATCTTATGCATATCAAGCAGCCAAGCAGACACGCACTCCTACTCTCGTCTCTCTGAGGCCTCCTGGCAGGTGTCCTTCTGTTTCTTCTGAGCATGAAGGCTACTCCTACGTCAACGCCAGCCCCGATGGCCGCCTGCTGGTGGCTGAGTCGTTTATGTGGGACATGCACAGGCTGACATGCAAGCAGCGCGTGCCCGTCACAGCAACCGACATGGTGTGGACCAAGGACGGCAAGCACCTCATCGGCCCCTCTATTCCCGCGTGTTCATCTGCGGCTTGGGTGGACATGAAGCTGAACGCACCATCATCTTCGAGGATCCATTTCCTGGCGCTGAGCTTGCATGCGCCGCCGCGTCCGGTGGCACTCCGTGGGTCATCCAGAGGTGGCAGAAGGAGCCATACCAGTGCAAGCTGCACCGCGTGCCAGACCTCAAGTGCATGGCGGTCGTGCTTTGCCGTCCACCTCCGAACACACGCGCTGCATGGCAGTCACGCCCACTCTGTATCGCGGGCAACAAGACGGGCGTCATCTCTTTGTGGCAGCTTGGTGAGCCATCGACCTTGCTTGCAGAGTGGAGGGCTGATGTTGTCGGTAATGGCGAGGAGACGATACAAGACGTGGGCGGAGAAGCAGCGAGAGGGGAAGTAGAGGCGGAACCGGCGAGCAAGGAGCGTAAGCGTACTGGCGTGGATGCGTTGCGTGTCACCCCTGATGGCCGCTTCCTGGTGACTGCGTCCACCTCCACCGACTTGCGCGTGTGGGATCTCAGCACCCTCACATCCACACGATCAGCAACAACACAACATGAAGGGACAGCAGCAGTGGCGCCAACAACAGCAGCAGAAGCAGCAGCGGCAACAACAACGACACGCGCCCGTTTGTGTTGATCGTGCGACGTTGGCAGAACCCAAAGAGGTCACGGGCGTTCGTGTTCCGCACATCGCAGCGTTTGCGGACAGCAGCAACAAGCTTGCTAGCGCGTGCGGAAACACAGTGCACGTCTACGCCATTGAACACCACCAGCATGACCACCACCAGCTGCAACAACGGCAGCATGACCAGCAGCAGCAGCAACAACAGCAGCAGGAGCGGCAGCAGTAGTGGTGTGA